GTCACAATTGCTGACCTTATTCTGAGATAGGCACGAACTTACTGAAGGTTCGTCGTTCGAATCCAGCTTTGGGATCCCGATTGCTATCGTCTAGGCTTGGGCAACCTGATAGTATCCCGGCTCACTTCCTTCCTTCATGTGCCGTGGCAGTTAGGTACCGAAGTAGTGTCACACCTGAGCGAGCTTCTTCTGATTCCAGGGCTGTAATTAGCGAACTATACAATATCTCTGTATAAATAATAAGAATCGTTCAGCTGTAGCACCCTTCCGGTGCCTAGCTGCCATGCCACCCAAAGGTAGCACGAGGGCTGGGCTACTGCCAGGTTGTCCAAGCCTAGACAGGAGAAGTCGAGAGGCAGTGGTCGGGTTCGAACCACGGACGTTCCGGTCAGTAAATTCGCACTATGACCAATTGGTCATCTCGCCCCAATATCTCTGTAGGTTGGGCCGTGATACTTCGCCAAGCACCCTTTTCACTATTCGATGCGTTTTTTTCCGAAGATGACTTGAAAGTACCAACATGTTTTTTACACCAGCGTCCGTTCCTATTCTACACAGGTCGTATGGCGTGTCGCTTTGAACCCGCTGTTTTTCATGACCGTGATCGGCGTCATCTTCAACTTTATTCTGAATCATACCATCCCAACCTATGTGGAGGGTTTACTGAGAATAATAGGTGAGTGTGCGTTTTTTTTTTGTATGTGTGTGTCCTATTCATCGAATTACCTGGTCGCCTCACTTTACTACGTAATTTTGAAATAATAATCGTTCAGCTGTAGCACCCTCTCGGTGCCTAACTGCCATGCCACACCAGAAGAAAGCACGAGGGCTGGGATACTGTCAGGTCGCCCAAGCCTATACAGGGGAAGTCAAGAGGTAGAGGCCGGGTTCGAACCACGAACCTTGCGGTCAGTAACCTCGCGCTCTAACCACGTGAGTGATCTCACCCCACTCTACTACGTGGTCTGGTGTTTATCCTTTTCAGCAGTTCTGTGTCTTCCCCCGGAGGATGGTGACCGCCCGGTTTTGGACTAGCGTCCAGCAGGCTCATCTGTTACGACGTCGAAAAAAGCCACGTTTTAAGTGTCCCGATTAACGATTACTTACCGGACCTGAGACATTGAGCTTGTCGCCATAGGCATTTTGTCGCTTATTGTGTTCAGTAACATGTTCGGTTCGGAAGATTGTGGGTCATCCTTCATCCTCTCTTCTCTGTCACCTTTGTTTAGCCGAGTCATTCGCAGCAACCGCACTGTTCACCCTGGGCTTTGGTATGGTTGGCAAGATGGGTCGAATCACGCAACGGGAAGTGCTCGTTCTGATCATCATACTCATGATGAAACTGTACGTTTGTTTGTCTCCCCCATCCCTCATCCTCGACGTTTTATCTGTTTCTCTCCAAACTGAAGCCATGACATCCACTGTGATGGTTCCAAGGTCGGAGCGCGGTAGTTTAAATTTGGCGGTGTTTCTAATGGTTGCTAGAGTCCTATTGTTTCATCGTTCAGTGCCTCACAGTCCCGGTGGAACTTCCACCGGGAAATCATCCGAAGACTTGTGAGTTTGCCGACCATATCCCTCTGTTGGGTCACACAAGAGCGTCTTCACAGAGTTCTCCATACGGTTTCGCGCTCTATCATGACTGAGTTACTATTCTAGTCAACTCAGACAGGTGAAAATCCCCAAGTTTGTGGGTAGCCTTGGCTACTCCTGACGTGGGCAGTGGATGACCTCTAATGTGAATTACTCAGATTAAGTTAGCGTTTGAGGATCTGAAACATTTCACGTTTCTGAAACAAATCAGGTCAGGATGGGTGGTTTTGTGCCGCCTGGCCGCTGTACGCCGGTAATAACACCCTGTTGCTCACATTTAGCCAATGGAAGGAAAGACTGGATGATCAAACATTGACCAGCCGAAGGCCAATGAAGAACCAAACAGTAGTATATTTTTGTAATGCACTACTTATAAGGTTGCTGAAAACTCCTCGACAGCCCACGACTGGTTTCGCCCTTCCAGTTTGGGCTCATCAGGTAGGTGCAGTCCCCGAGTTTCCGTTAACCTTATGTTCTACTTGGAATCTAATTGCACGGCATTAGCGGAATCCAGTGTTGGCCGTCTTAGGAGTAACAGGCTGGAGAATTACACACATACGTCTTCTACTGAAATCTGTATTAAGTCATGTCATTCTTTGCCCAGTTGGGGAGAGGTGTGATGAATCTATTTGGCAAAACCTACTGTTCGGTTAGCGAAATACACTCATTCGCAAACTAATCTGGTTCTGTGAGGGACTCACCCACAACCCAGCTGAATCTCTCGTTTGTGATGTGTCTAGGCAACTGAATGTGCTACAACAGGCCGCCTGATGTTTCAGCAACCTTATGAGTAGTGCATTACGAATATACATTTATTGCGATATGTCGAATATCGTCGCGACTGAAACATGAAGCGGCCTGGTGCAGCACATTCAGTTGCCTGGGAACATCACAAACGAGAGATTCAGCTGGGTTGTGGGTGAGTCCCTCACAGAACCAGATTAGTTTGCGAATGAGTGTATTTCGCTAACCGAACAGTAGGTTTTGCCAAATAGATTCATCACACCTCTCCCCAACTGGGCAAAGAATGACATGACTTAATACAGATTTCAGTAGAAGACGTACGTGTGTAATTCTCCAGCCTGTTACTCCTAAGACGGCCAACACTATCACAAGTGTCTCGGAGGCAGAATAACTTCACAAGGGGAGTGATACTTCTATCTGAGAATTCTTCACTCGAGAAGCCGGTTCATAGGTTACCACTTGATGTGATTGAGTGGGGCCACAACCTGTCTTCGTAAAGGCTAGCCACACTGCTCCTTAGCCGCTCGTGTTCAAACGGTTAGGTGTTCAAACTGCCAATCGGGACGCCCCAGATTCGGAAGTCCCCACTTGAGTTTCGTCACATGCGCACTGCTAATGAGTCGCAATAAGATAGAACACCTGTACTCGCTGGCTTTTGAGCATTGATATACTTCACGTACGTGACTAAGTTTCAACTGGATAGTGTCCTTGTACTGTTACTGTTTCTTTTCAGTTATTGTTCCGTCCAGCCTTAGTCGAGACCTACAAACGTATCCCCCAACCCAGCAAACTGAAGTCATTGACAGTAAGCAATGTAAACTTGTCTACCAAGTAGAAATTTGGGCTAGAGACTTCAAAGAGGTGGGCTCACTGCGACGAGTTTACTGTGACGATACATGCCACCATTGCTTGTTCGCCAAGCGCACAAGCCTCCCTTTTGTAACGAACTAGGGATAATTGAA